ACTGACAATCTATCCAGCCTTTTTGTTGCATAATTCTGTTAATCCCCGATTAGAGAATCTGGCCTCCTTTCTTGCTTCCTTCACTCAATTGGTTTAAAATGATCTAAACAACTCCTGCACGATGTCCAGAACAGTTAACAACCACTAGCAAATTGCTGTTCCTGCTTAGACTATCATATCTTCACTTATCCTTCTTCTAATCCTTCTCCTCACTTGTAATTCACTCAGTTTCCAGTTGTGAGCAAGATGTCATTGCTGATCTCCTTAAAACCACTCAGTCATGACTGCTTTTTACATCTTTCTCCCCACCAGCCTATTTTTAAAGCCTGTTTGACTGTGAAAGATGCAGCTCGTGGCTGCAATATGCCAAATCTGCAGCTCTGAGCTCCTAAAGCCCCAGCATTCCGCAGAAAAAGAAAATAAAGTTTTATTTCGTTTCACGCTTGCTTATTTTGTTTCAAACCTGTGGCACAATTTCCCTTTGGCCGAGAAGCAGCATTCTGCATTTTTTAGGCAGGGAAGAAATCCAGTCACGTTGGCTCCAAGGACGTCTTTCAGTGCTTCTTAAAACATTAACAACTTCCCAGTAGGAGAGAGGGGGAGATCCAGCACTCCAGGGGACAGTGTGCATCTTCCAAGGCTCTCAGGCCTTTCAAACTCAGAAGCAGCTGGAGTAAATTAGCACAAGCAGCTTCTTATGAGACAAGACTGAAGAAGGCACATGCAGGAATAAGGAATAAATAGCAACCAAAACCTACAGGTTTTGGATATCCTAATTCCACACAATAACTATATTCTCTGAAAAAGATCCTGGGCACTTTCCACACTAGCCTGGAGGAACAGTGTAGGTCAACCTGGGTGGGCTACTTTATCTCCTTAGATGAGTGCTGTTCCACATTTTCACTTAAAGGATTGCTCAGTCCTCTTTGAAGAGGGGGAAAAAAAAAAAGCACAGCTAATTTAACATAAAGGACACAGGGTGCTGGGGAAAGACAAGATGCCGAGAAATGTTGGTTCAAGCACAGCTAGAAGCATTAGGATGGTTTGGAGCCTTACAGACTTAACCCAACTTTCACCTCCCCTACCTTTCCAGCCTCGAGTCATTAGTCAAGGGCCAGCACCAGGAAAGTCATTTTCCTAAAGCTTGTAGAGCAGGATAGAGGCTGCGTGTTGACACATTCCTCCACAGGCTTAGGAAGTGCGCCTGCCAACTTCAAGGTCAGCCCAACAGGCATTAAAATGGCAGCATAGATATGTAGCTTGGGAAACTGGATGGGAGAAAACAGGTAATATTGGCTCATTGCTCCACTGCTCTGTAAGGTATGGATTAAGACCTTTGGAAAACCTGGCCCTTTCTGCAGCACAGTGATGGGCACCATGCAAGAAAGGAGGGAAGTCAAGAGTTAGAGCCTGCTCCAAAGGGGTCGAGGAGAGGGCAATGACATGGGAAGGACAAGGGCCTTTCCAAGCTTTAATTCATCTCTGACAAACTGGAGCTTGGACAAACATTTGGCATTGGTGTGTGTTGCATTAGGGCACAAAATCTTGGAGATGAAAAGGGTGAGAGGCCAAATACCATGAGACTCAAGTTCTGACATGGTGTTGTGGTAGCACTTTTCCTTTATTCCAATGAGAAGCAAGCAGAAGGCCAATGCCAAAATAATTTCACTGAAGAAGTAGTCAGCTACTTTTCAGGAGACAAGTGAGCTGAAAAAGACATTTGAATTCTGAATAGACAAAAGCAATGCAACTGCATATTTCTTAGCAAAAGATGCTGTACAACCTTCATTTAACATTGCCAAATGAAGAGCAGGTCCAAAGGAATCTGAATCAACTTTCACCCATGTGTTAAAGATGAAATTTAATTGAAATTTAATGATCAGCTTATCAGCTAGCTTTGGTTCTGTCTGCACAAGGGAGAATTTCCAATAGACCCTTCAGTACTAGCAGCATTCTTGGTGGAGTCACATATTTCCATACTTGTCTGCCCCACTCCCCTAGGCCCCAAGTGGCAAGAGGGAGCAAACTGCAAACACTTAGTTATATCAACTTCAAGCAGGCTGAATTCAGCATAAAAGGAACAGCAGTAAATGGATGAACCAGAAGTTTATGCACCAAGTATATAATTGACAACCTGGGCTTCCATTTTACTACACAAGAACATACCTCCTCCTTTCCAGGCACAGGTCTGCTGCTCTGCATTCCAGCTATGAAGCACTTGTCAGGCACAAAATAAATCAATACTTGCTATTTTGAAGTTTTAAGTTTAGTGCCAATTTGATTTGATTTAAATTTTCCTTACAGGGCAAACTGTATGAGTAGCTGGCATTGCATCTTATGGTAACAGCAGCAGATTTCTGGACAACCAGAGCATGAGGTTTTAAAATAAAAAGCATTTCTTGCCAGCACTTTTGCCTGTTCTTTGCAGAAAGTTTCACAGAGCTACTTCTGGAATCACATGCCAAGTCTCGTGATCAAAAAAGCCATTTTCTTTACCTTTCATAGGTTAGTAAGAAAGTCTATAAAAGGGAAGTGCGTGTTATTTCACATCATCAGTGACCATGGTCACTGACCTCCAGAAACCAGAGCTACATAGGATGGAAAAGCAGCTGAATACTTGGATAAAGACAGTTATTACCAGCCCTTTTCTCCTTCCAACATTAATTTGTCACTGCTGTAGGAGACAGTGGTACTTGTTCCAGAGATGCTCATGCAGGGGTGGAAAGAGGAGTTTGCTGTGCAGAGGAAAGGCCCAAAGCCCCCAACTCTTATGGCAATTGTCCAAAGTGATATCAGAAATTTCCACAACAGGCCTCTAACAAAAGTCATCATTGACCAGTTCCTGACAGATCCCCTCCTTTTCCCACCTCTTTTTGCCTTCCAGCAAAGGGCAATCTCCACAGAAAGAGCCCAACTGTACATTCAGCTAGAATGGACATTTATATCCACGCTGTCTAGCCACCAGCCTTCATAGAAGCCAGACCTCCAGAAAAACCCTTCAGAGGAGCCGGGCTGTCTGACAATACTGGAGTCCTGAACCAAGGGAATGTAAATCAAGAAAAAACACTGATAAGGAAGTCTAATCCATTTTTAGATTAGATATTCATCAGCAGCTGAAGAAGCAGCATTAGCTTCCTCCAATTTTAAACCAAATTTTATTTCAGCTTCTAAAAAACACTTGCTACTTTAAAAGGCTTTTAGACCTGTACAGACCATTTAATAACCACTCACACTATTTTTTTTCCAACATGATGGAGGAAAGCTGAAGTGTTTTGTGTGGAGGCTTCCAACAGACAGGAAAACAGGCAGAACTGGAGGGGATGGAAAGTTTACATGATTTGCTTGAAGCATGCTAGCCCAAAGGGAAATATTTTTCTTTTCCTGACAGCTACATTTGCATAGGATGTTTCTGTGGTCGTATGGCCAAGCACGCCATTCTCAAAACAGGATGCCAGAGGCAACACCATGGACAGTCAGTTTATATTACAAATTGTAGACTAATTTCATCCATTTACAGCTCTCTTTCTGTATATCCAAACCTATTAGTTAATAAAAGGAGTGAAATGGAAAGACCAGGCTTAAATTCTATCCTTTGCTCCTGTTCCATATGGAAGCCAGTGTCAGCTGCTTTTCATTGTAACAAAACAGTGCAGGACAGCTCAGGTAGGAAGCCTGCAAACAAGCCCCACCAATACAGAGCACACGAGCTACTTGATTTGCTTGTACTTCTGGCTAGACTAGCAAGAAATGTATTAATAGAACAATAACAACGCATTCAGGTGCCAATTATACTCGTTGTCAGTTTTAACACCTAATTACAGGCTTAGAGAGACATGTCCTTAACTGAAATAACAAACAGGTTTCAGTGCTCAGTCTTAACTATTTTTCTTGCATCTTCCTTCTCCCTACCTTCTCTTAAGTTACCACACATGAACAATTGATTGGGGAACAGACATGGAAATCTACTCAAAATACAGCACTGTCATGAGCTCAACAATCTACAATTCCTTTTAAGTGTTTTCAGGATTTGACTGACAGTCCCAGCATGGAATATGTTTTTCAAATAAAGATTATGCATCAAGGTAGGTATTTTCATGCATTTTGCAGTGCCAGGCATTTGAAGTGCCAAAAAGAGGTTTACAGAGTTAACAGCAAAAACCCTGCTTTGGACACCAAAACAGGAACTTCTCCCAGGAAGCAGCCTTCACATTCACCTTCAAAGTGAGGATGCACTCAACAGTTTTCCTGCAGTAAGGAGATAAACTGAAAAGTTGACATTGGATGGGGAAAAAGGAGAAGACATGGTGGAAATTAAAGTGTGGAGAAAGCCTAAAGACAAATGTGACACCTCATCAGTGTATATTCCCCAGTCACCTCTCCCAAGGCTTCAATGAATGCAGGTGACAGGGAAGGGCTACAGAGGCGTATGGGAAAAAGGGAGCAACACATCTAGTGCCTTGCTCAAGAAATGCAAGAGTAATAGTTGAAGGCAGACTAATGCCTCGTGTACAGAAGAGTGAGATTTTGGGGAGCACTCATCCTGTTCCAGCTGGCTGAAGAGTTTTACTTAACACAAAATCATTCAGCACATTTAAGGCCACAACCATGACATTGGCAGTGACTCCCAATAACGCCCTAATCATGCTGCTGGCCTCCCTATTCCTTAGGTTTTACTGAGCAATGCTCGATAGTTACCATTAAGGTCAGCAAGCAGAAGACCGACACCTCTGCTTTGTATCAGCCATTCCTTTGGGAAGCTCTTCTTTTTTACACTTCAGCTTAGTCGTTGAGCATGGAGCACAGCCCATAGTTTTCAGCTGCACAGGGTGACGCATAAACAGACTACCATCTTCTTTCTTCTGCTGATGGGGTGGTCTAGAGGCACGTAAGCCACCCACACATCAAGCTGTTTAGAAACTCGAGTTCTAAGTTATCTCAAGGGACTTGGCAGGGCAACTGTTATTACAAAACAACTTGTTGGAGCACAGGACTTCACTCACCTTTCCTTCCCGAGTTACCCTGGCTTGATGGTTTATCAGTTACAGAACCTAAGAGAAGAAGAAAGAGAGCTCTTTTAAGGTGCTGCATGATCATACAAGACATGCAATCATATGAACACAATCAAAATTTCAACACACAAAGTGTTGGTTTTACCTGCCAACAACTCATTTTAGGATTCGGTGATCCTGTAGCTTCAACTAGCTAGGATAGCATAAGGACAATTTAGGCATTACGGATAGGGTCAGAACAAACAAGAAATCTTTAGTAGCTAGATCCAGTGACTTGAAAGAGCTCAGCACGGTGTGTTAGTAGGAAACATACAATAACTTCAAGAGCACAAAGGAAAGAGAGTCACTTCTTCCATTTGTAAATGTCAGGAAGAACAAATCTAAACCAGGTGGGGAGAGTTCGTACAGGCCATACAAGGAGCAACATTCTAAAGGAAAGGGATTAAGTGGAACAGTTTCCAGAAAATGAATTTCAACCAACTCCTGAACATCCACAACTGTATGAAAGGAAAATAGGATAAGCTAGATCCAGCAGGTACTTGAATAGGGTAACTCCTGTTTCTTAGCATACACTCAAACCTTCATACAACCTATAACAGCCTTTACATTTGTTTCCGCAGTTTGTTTCAGGGCTTCATCGAGGAGTTTTCCATTATAAGGAGAGTAAATAAAAGGCAAAACAAATTCATAAACTTCCATAATGAAACAAATCCATTATGGAAGTGTGAAAATTTATGACAAACTTTTTTTTTTAAATAGTTTTATTCCCAAGAAACATTCTCCTTGCAGTCTTACTAAACTGTGAATTACAAAGACTGATCCTTCAGGATATGTGGATCAAGTCAGTTCCAAAGGAGACAGCTTTAACAGACCTAAGTCTGGTCCAGACAAACCACATTCTAAAACTATTTCCTAGGTTCTTTCACTTGCAATTTAGTTAATCACAGATCTAAAGCTGAATTAAAAGTAGAAAGCATGTAAGCACATACATAAATCATAGGTCATATGTCCTATAGACAAACCAACATTGTAGTTTCCTAGTAACACAGGTTAATAAAAGGCTCAAAAATTAAGTGAACACATCAGCAAACACCCTAAAACATGCCCTACCAAAACTGCACTAAGAATCAAGGACACTCAGAAAAATCTAGAGCTAACACCACCACCCCAGTCTCATCCCATTTGGGCTCTGGGCTGCTACAGTGAACTGTGTGTGGGGGAGAAAGAGAAAGGACACCCAACGTCAGGCTGCTTCAAGTATAGAAGAGGATGGATTTGGGATGCAACGCTGACAGGGCAGCGAACCAAGAGGCTACAGAAAGCACCAAGGCATCCCGCCTTACAAAAGTAGTGACCTAACAGACTGGCAGCCTTCATGCCCTGCCCTTACATGCGTTGTCGTTGTCAGCCAGCCCCATAACAAACAGGGAAATCCTGGAACTGAGCAGTATAAGTAGAAGAATCAAATCCATTAGAACAGCAGGACCCGAAATTTGGGGGCTAGCAGTTTAATAGCTTCCTGTTTCTCACCAAACAACCTTAGCAAGGCTTCAGCTTAAGGCACTCAGCAAGACAACATGACTTTGTGGTCCACTTGATACAACTCATGGAAAAGAATTGAAGTTACCCCATTTTTAATGGCAATCTCTTGATGGCAATACAGCTATTCAATCTTAGCTATCATAAATTGTGGTTTCACTTTGTTTTCTTGGTGACTTTTTCCCCAGTGAGCCTGCAGGTCTACCCTGAGTGCAGGATGCAATGCCAGAGGAGACACAGCCCAAGCCACCCTGTAGGTTTCAAATGCAGGCGAGCAAAAAGGGAAATACAACACTGCACAATATACCCATTGCACCTTTTAAACTGGGCAAATTGCTCCATCACCTGAAAAGATTGAGTGTCCCTCAAAACAGGACACGTTCCCCCAGTCACCTTCCATTACCACATAGGTGTTGGTTGAAGAGACTCCCACAGTACCTGAACATACAGGAGTTTTGTTCTGCACAGAGGAGCCGCTGATGGGCTTCCCGTCGGGCGTCACGCACCAGCAGTATCCAGTGTAGGTGTGGCACTGCACCTGTGAGGTAAAACAGACAGGCATTTCAGGTCTCACTGTCACCCACCTTTTCTATTGTAACCCAGCATCTTGCTGGCAAACCACCATTTTCCAGATTCTCTTTACTATTCACCATTATATAAGTTCTCCTTGGATTCCTAGAACATCCCAGCTGGGTTGAGGAAAAGCCACCCTAGGCCAGTTCCCACAGCCAGTGTTTGGGAACAGTGTCCTGTGGGCATTTTGAGTACATCTTGTCCAGTGAACATAGAAAAAAACAAGTGGAACACTGCCTCCTATATGATAATGCATCTTCTCCAGAGAGAATTGGGGCTTCCCAGCCCCACATCAACCCAGGTGGTAGATGCAAGATCCAACACATTCGCTTTTCACATACTGACACGGACTGAAGAACATCTGATGAAGGTCATAAGCAGCCAAAAATCCTCAGCATAAGATTTATTCTGCTTAACCTTGAAGCTCTTCATCTGAACAAAATGCCTAGAATTGCCCAGCACCATGAAGGGAAACCGGAGTGCGAGTTCAACTATGGACCTGCAAAGAAAGAAAAGAGGAAACCTGATCTAGCAGACTCTTCTTGCTCATGTACAGATATCTTACTGCAGTGGCACTATAGTTCCAACCAGATTAATAAGTCCTCCGACTAGAGTCTTTGCCTCAGCTTTCAGGAAGTGATCAACATTTGGATGAAAGTCAGGATGCCTTTTGACTTCCCTTGAGACAGGAGTAAACAACCATCATAAAGCTACCTGTATAAATACTAACAGTTTCAGAAACTTTCCAGTAAACACAGCTTTACCATTGACCAAGTCCACCCACGACAGCTTCCAGGATCTTGAAATAGTACAGAAATGTCTACACTACCAAAAACTACAGCTAGCTCCATCAACACGGTTCTCAAGAGAGCTGGGAAGATCATTTCTGAAACTACCTTTTTATTTTACTTTCAAACTTGATTCTGCTCCCTCTTTTTTTCCAAGCAAGCTCACTGTGGCTGACCCCATGCAAGTCTTTTCCAGAGAAGAGTGATGGGGTGTTTGTCCCCAGCCCTCCATAGGCATCCTCCAGAGCTAGACCAATTATTCCCCCTTGCTGACAGCTGGCTCCAGTTCCCAAAGGCAGAAGAGTTTGTTCAGAGACTTTACGACAGGCTTTTTAAAGGCTTTGAGTATCACATAAGACATGATCTAAGAGCGATTATAACGCAGCACCGTGTGTTTATCTTGGGCTTTACTAACCTGCAAAGCAATCATTTTGCCTTGAGCCAAGTTTGCATTTGGTGGCCAAAACCAACAATAATCTCATGTACTCATGTTTCTAGAGCCACTGTCACTGCTATCGGAACGCTTTCACTTTTATTCTCTTAGTATGCCACAAATTTGATTGCAAATTACTCAGAGGCACCATGAATGTAATTAGTGATTAATCAAGCTGCAAAATATTTCTTATTACTCCATCAATGGCACATTCAAAACAAGTGCAATGGAACTGCTTGGGGCTCTGTGCTTCGTGTTTATTTTTGCTGATCACATATACATTGTTTCATACTCGAGAGCACAAGTTGTGTTCATGTCCAAGCCATTATACACCACAGTATCTGGTCACAAATATTTAAAAAATACTAAATACACTTGTTTTATTATATGTTTTATTCTTCCTATGCAGTAATATGTAGAAATGTTCATGCATCATCTAACTTTTGGAACACCTGATGTACCCAGGTCATAAAAGTTCCTTTAGCCAAATCTTGAGAAAACCAAAGTACAAAGCTAATGTCAGAAGACTTCAAGAAATGTATGGACATAAGTTTAGGATAGAGGCATTAGCCAAGACCAAGTCATGCAGCTCATCCCAAAGCAAAGCTACCAATTACATACCATTCAGTTATGTACTCCAGAACATTACTCTCATAAAAGAGAAGTAACGTTGTGAGCAATGAAACTAATAAAGGGTGGTCAACTAGAGACAGGTATCCCATGGCCTGTTCTTCCCTGCCCACACCAACAGAAAAAAAACAAGCAATAAATCTCAGACCAACAGCTCTTTCACATCAACCAAATGTTCTACCACAGCACAGAAGGACTTTCCTGCTGTTGACAAGAGTAGCTGATGGGGACTCAGCCCTCACTCTCATTCCTAACAACTAGACAACTACCCACAAAGAACAGACACTTCAAATCTCAAAAATCCCTGCAGTCAACTTCTCTGATTGTCTTTGTGTTGGGAGATGCCTACAGTCTACACAGTTTGCAGCTTTAAGGCTGGAAAATAAAAAATATCAACTGATGCAGTATCATCTCTAAAACAACACACAGAGTTCAGTGTCAGCTATTCCACGGAGACTAACATCTTCCACTGCTCCTGTAGCAGGGAATCTTGAAAAATTCACAGCTTTTTTTGTACCATTTCCAGAGAGTTTAGGCTTAGCTTTTATTATTTTAAACCTCTATTTAAATCTTCCGCCTGAGATTAAATGTCTTTCTTATCTTACTCCCAGAGTAGCCAAATTATTAAATATTGTTATCTCAGAAGCACAATCTTATAGAAATTGCACCAACTTACTGCACAAACCTAATTCTTAGCTATTCAGCTTCTTATCTGGGACTTTGAAAAGAGTTTACGTGAGTTTGGCTCTTCTTTTCTTTGCTCCCATCAGCCTCAACGCTGAGCACTGTGTCAGAAAAAGGCATTCTCAATTCTCCAAACAAAACAGACTTGATTGCTAAGTGAGTTTCAGCTACGGAATCCTTGCTACTGGTACAAATGCACACTGCAGATAGAGCTCAGTATCTATAGCTCAAATTAACATATGGCTGTCACACAGTTGAATGTGTTAAGTTATAACACAAAATCAGAGAAATAAAACCTGTAAAGCACTGCAGTCTTTCAACTGATCCTCCACCAACAGGTAAACAACTTTCAAAAAAAATCAAAGTGCAGTTTGAAATCCTGTAGCACCTGAGTCTGATTATGCAGGAAGCCACAATTTCTACTTTTTAGGAACAACGGAAAGGTCCTCTCAATTATGCCTCAGCTGAAGGATGAAAAGCATGAGGGAAGCATCCAACAAAAATTACTCTGTCACCATTGCCCAAATTAATTAAGAGCATGACAGCTGCTTCTCTGTTCCCCACATTACAGCGTGTGAAATCAAACAGCAGCTAACATGCTAGCGACTGAATGAGCCCTTTTCCTCATCACATTCATTAAAATATGAAAACATGAAAACTATAGTCACTGGCAGGCTCCTTTGCCTCTTCATTCCTGAGAGAAGAGGGATTGTTGGGACTTCTTCAGTATCTCCCTGCCGATGCCAGAACGAGTTTCCACAGCAGCCCCAAACTTCTCAGCACGCTGGTTGGATCGTCCCTTTACAGCCTTTTGACAAAGAAGAATCAAGGGCTTGTTTCCAAAAAATAAACTAGAAATGGGGAAGAGATGTATGGACAGGTTATAAGGGAGATAGAAGTGGCAAGACAGCAGTTCTGGGATGGCTGAAACCGGTCTCTGTGGTTATAGAAAGCTAGAGTTTGCTGTAAGAGGGTCTTGAACAAGCACCGAACACAGTAAGAGCATTCAGACTCGCCTGCAAATGCTGTTCAGACAGCTTGATAAAGGATTCCTATCCAGTGGCAGCTCCGACAAAAACAAATGTTTTCTGGCTTCTTTAGTAATGGCAGGGTGGAGAGGAGAAGGGAAGAAACAAAACATTCTTTCTGAATTCAAAACAATATTTCAGAGGAGAGGAAGAAGAAAACATGTTCAGTATTGGAAGGCCACCGCTGAGAGCACTACCCTGTTACACTGCATGTGTGGCAGGCACCAAAGCCTGGCTGCATTCGGCTCCTGCTTGTCCATACTGTAAAAACACCTAGAGAAGCCATCAAAAAAACACTAGGTCCTCCGGCCTGACCCAGAAAGCAGGAAAAAGATTCACATGAGAACTCTTTAGTCATGTCTTTTATTTTTTTAAGCTGTTGAGGCTCATCTAGAATGTCCTCTAGTCTCAGATCAGTGGCAGGGAATCTGCACACTGGCCTCATCCCTATTTATCCTCACTCTAAGGGGTGGCACCTCTGTTCTCATTTAAATGTCTTGCTGAACCACACACACCCTCGATCTTGTGCTCTTTCTGCTATACTACAAGTTCACTATCATCAGAAGCCTGCCTTGCCTCTGTAGATATTTCAGGGAGCTATTAATCAGTCTGCATCTTAAGCTTGGGCTTCTTTAGGATTCTTTTAAAACCTTAAATCCTTCTCTTTTAAGAAAAAAAAATGTTCTCTGCTAAGATTTAATTGTTTCTAGACAACATTGTCCAGACACAAACATTCCTATGGGGCCTTTATACAACAGCCTCCTTCCTCACATCTATGCACCAGTCAAGAAATGTTTGCTCCACAGAAATGTTTTACTATTAATATAACCTGAAATAGAAGTGATTTGTGGTAAAAGAATCCTAGCCACGTTCTAGCATATTTCCAACACAATCTTTCTGGCACAGATACCATCTTTAACTCAAAAAAGGTATTCCCAAACTAGAGCACAAGACCCCTTCTTTAGGTGCAGAAAATGACTGTTACAATTAGGAATGAATGGCCTTAACACCCTGCCCCATTCCATAAATAAATGCTTTAAGAGTCTCTTCCTTTGCTCTCTTGGCTGGTGCTTCTTTGAAGAAATACCATATGCAATTTGAGCTGCCACCTCCTTGCCGTGGGTTATCTTTAGGTCAGTCACAGATAGGAGGCAAAACAAAACCTCCAATAGGAAAGTGAGCTCATAGCTACCAAGTAAATCCCAACATCCACAGAGTTCCAGCTTGAGTCTTTTACAGAAGGGATATCTTCCCTTAATCAAAAATAAAAGCCAGAAATATCTATTGACTGAAGTTCAGATTCCTTATGAAGAAAGTCTGTTTAATTGAGTAAAAGAGAATGTGCTTTTCCCTTCTAAAAGGAGAGGTAAGTGCTTGAGAGCTTAGTCTTGCCAGAGCATGAGCACTGCACGAGGACTACACAGGGAAGGTGGGACAGGTCTACGTGGTGCCACGCAGCACTCGCTGCACTGAGGGATGAGCTCGTGAGTCTGCTCAGCATCACGCTCTGCTAGCCCATGCAGAGACTGCCTGAGGTGGTGAAAGAGCCCTGTGTGCTAGCAGAGCAGCCCCGTGTCCGCCGGTGTGGCTTTGGAGGAGTTGGGACTGCACTAATCCTTGTACAAGGATTAGCCTAACACAGAATGAAACTATTGCTGTGGGCCATGGTACCCTTTACGCTCTCCAATCACGCTGATACTGCCAAATGCGTGAGAGGGAGAGTTCTGGACACTGTTCGATTCCCATCTAATGATGAAAACCAGCTACTGACCCCATCATCAGAAGACAAGAGTGACTGACACACTCACTGTGAGGATAACCTCAGTGCTGCCCAACAACTGCATCAGCAGCTGCAGTTCTCACAGCCCCAAATTCAAAGAAATTCTCCAAGCAGAATACTGCTCTCAGCCACTTACATGAGAACTTGCAAGGAAAAGCAACCAAGAAAAATGGAAGAAGGTGGCAAAAAGCAAGACACCCCACAAAGCCACACAAGACTATACTGCCAAAGCAGGGTCGAAGTTATTCACGTTCATTATCATCTGAAACTGATGCCGTTTACAACTTGAGCAACCTTTTCTAAAAAACTCCTTGGGGGAAAACTGTGAAGAATGCAAGTTTCTCCCAGCCCATGGCAACAAGCCCAATGGCACTAAGCAGCAAAAGGAAGTGTGCAGATTACCTAATACAGCCTGTTGTTTACAAAGAACAGATCACAGCAGGTTAAGTGCAGCATGGAAAGGGAATGGCATTTATGCAAAATACAGCATAACAACAAAAGGAGAGAGCGAGTCTTGGAAACAGAAACTGGTTTTAGTGATGGACAATTCTGCCCAGCAGTATGCTATCTCAATGGAATATAATTAATCAAATTATAATTAATCAGATTACTTGTATCAAACCTTCTTATGTTGTGAAGAACATGTGCTTTATTGCTATAGCCTAAGTGCAGACAGACTATTTATGGAAAGTTGTATTCCCCACATAGGATTGAAAAGCACAGGAGAAGCCCTGCTTCATCTTCCAGAGCTGTTCATCAGCTCTGCTCTCACTGTCATCCCATCATGCCGGCCAATCCACCACCTCTTCCGTGCTGCAAATCCATGCTACATTTTCAGATGTACAGACAGTACCAAAACATTTGGGGAGATCTTTACAATACATCAACTCCTAGCATAAAGCAAGCAGCTGATGCGTTGCATAGAGCCAGTAATGGAAACCACTGCTTTGACGGGTGTCTGTTCCCCTTGAAGTACACAAAACACGTTATGACTAGCCCTGCCTGGGAAGATGGGCAGTCAAAGCAATAGTGTCATTGTTCTAGATTTGCAGACTAAGAAAGGAGATTTTTTGGGTACTGAAAACATACATGCTAATGCGAACAAAACTAAGGTCTCGTCCTTCAGGCTGTCCTCCCTTTTACCTTTGCATGTAACCATCTAGTCTGAAGAGATGATATTACTGCAGAGAAGCTGAAGGAACCAAGGTGCTTCTGGTCTCCCCTCAATCGTGGAGCCCAGCACCGTGCACCTCACAGAACAGCACAGGAGCTGTGTTGGGTTAACAAGCCACCAGTCCCTCCAGTGGATGTTGGATTCAGTCCCACAGCTCAAGCACGCATTTTGTACTACATGCAATTCCAAGAGGTGGGAGAAACAGGCTTGAGCATCTTAGAGGAACAGTGTGACTTTGTGCTTTGACCGTGCATTTTATCATCATCCTCTCTATTAGAGATCAAATTTCAATCAACAGTTCAATCTGGTCAAGATCTACCAGATTCTGTGTTGTTCAAAGAAGTCCCCAGTCAACTCTAAATACAGAATTTAGTCTGAAATATGCGAGTCTGCTTAGATCTTTGTTGAGAGGGGGTTTGAAGTTTGAGAAGCATGGTGGCTATTCTTTCTAGAAACTTTGTCCAGAGATGTTGCTCTGCTCTGAACCTCCCAACTGAGATGAAGTCTGCATACAGCTACTCTCCAGGTATCCAACAAGAATAAGCTGGTATGAGCCAGCTTCAGCAAGGCTTCAGACATTTCACAAAACTGGCCTTCTGCGCATTTCTGTGTAGAACAGAACCTGGAGATGCAGAAGAGAACCTGGAGGTGTCAATTCACAGAACGACAGAATGGTTGAGGTTGAAAGGGACCTCTGCAGATCATCTAGCCCAGCAGTCCTCACTCAAGCAGTATCACCTAGGGAATGTTGCGTATAATTGTGCCCAGTCTGCTTCTGGAGGAGGAAAGCAATCTGGGCAGGCATCTGCAAGGAAGGAGACTCTACCACCTCCCTAGGTAACCTGTTGCAATCACTCTTGGGGTAAAGAGGTTTTCCCTCATGCTTAAATTCTCTGGACATAAAAAGCAGCATCGAAATGACCCACATCGGACTAGATCCGAGTTGCTGGAAGCAAAACTAGTGTAGATTGCTCAAAATTCTGCTCAAAATTTTTTAATCACCCTCTTAAATCAAAATTAAGCTAATTGGAACAGAAATCAAAAGAAACACTTGTCTCAAAAGCAGGCTAAAACCTGTTCTCTTCCTCAGCCACTGTTTCATTGACATCTTATGTGGGGACAATGACCTTAAATGCCACAATCCAAATGATGAAACTGGTTCCTAAGGTATGTGGAACACAGCACACTAACTGAAATTCCTATCATTCCTTTCGTAATAAGGACACTTAAAAAGGAATCAGAGGCTTCCTTCCTTATGCCAGGTAAAACAAAAGCATTTAGTGTTCATACATCTGTTTTTAAAAGGAGTGAATGGGGGAAAGCTGTTGCTTGGCTTCTAGCTCAGAGCATTCAAGTTTTGTAAGCAGTTTCGTGCTGCTCCTTCTCCGAAAATCCTGGCAACCCATATTGGTCTGGGAATGCAGGAAAGCAGCCCATCAACTACTTAACCATCCAGACACTAGTATCAAGCTACCAAATAAAACCATCCAAAATAAAGCTTTATCAGCTACACCCTCATTCCAGCCTATTAGAATGAAAGTTTCACTTGCACCCTCTGTCTTACCTTCCAGCATGTGATGGAGTGCTGGGAAGACTTTGAGGAGCCAGCCTTACTTCCCCTTTCCTTCTTGAACTATAAAGCTCAACACAGAACACTTACCTCTTCTCATCCCTCACCTTCCCAAAACAGTCCACATTATACACAAATAGGATGCTGCTCTAAAATAGTATGCAAAGAAGTTGGCAGAACAGATCATTTTTTTCCTATCTCACTATAAAAGAATAAAAACAAAATGAAAACACTCCTACACATCAGATGATAATGAGAGGGTAAAGCTGGGGAGAATAAACATTTTAAGTGGGTTATCTTTCCTCTTCTCTTCCCTCAGGCATCACAAAGTGTTTGAACAAGCCCCAAAGCTTCTAGTCTCTCATCTTTTAGAAACAATATTGATTATATTTTGGATTGTATTTTGCCACAACTACTTAAAATTTCTGCAAAAGTCTGTAGGACTGCTCCAAACAAAACCATTTGTGGAAGCTGCTCAGTGGCCATAACTGACTGTTCATTTTGCATAAATCTGAAAGGTCAAACCACAAGAAGCACATACGGCTCCTCTGCTATCCTTGCCTGAAGTAGTTGTTTCTCATGAGAAGCAGCATTAGGAAACAGCCTCCACACCCAGCATTATCACTAAGCCCCAGCAAATGAATACTACAGAATCACAAATCCAAACAAGAAGTGTCGTGGCCAGTCTCATCACCTCCATTTCAGGCATAATGGAGAACAGCACAGGAAGCAAGGGGCTGTCACAAAACGCTGTGCAGAGGCAAGGGGCTCCAGAGAGCCCTAGGGAGCTCCTCTCTTTTGCTGGGATTCATGAAGTACTGGCAACAGCAGCAGAAGGCAGCTTGCTCTGTGAACCACATTTCTGCTTGTAGCTCGTCTCCAGAGAACACTTGGCCTCCCCGGCAACTTTTAGCAAAGATGACAATTTCCAAGCAGTGCTAGAGGTGGGTGTCAATACACAGGCGTGTCTTAGGGTACAGCTTATGCCTGAATCAAAGTTTCTACTTGGTTAAATGGTCCTCAGCTTGTAGCACCCTTCACCTCAGGGAGCAAACCCGAGTGCAACTGCAGTGCTCTCCCCACTTAGCTTACCAGATAGCAACAAATCTCTTGCAGGCACCGAGAACCTGGCTGAGACACCAGTGGGCATTTTACCTGTGTGAATGATCCATCCTCATTGCACTCGGGGATGAAGACTGCTTCCTGGGGCTTCTTTGCTTGTTCCAGCGCTTGAGCTCTCTCTAATCGACACTTGCTTTGGCCAGCATCTACAGAGAGAGAAGCAAAGCAGGCTCAGATTGCAAATACCATTTGGCCTCTTCAAAAGCTACCAGATGCACCGTGCAGCTGGGAAAAACAAACAAACACACGCAAGGCATCAAGAACCATTACCTGCACACTTAAAAGGCAGACATGAGTTAGCACTGACAGTCCCCCAAACAAGTGTGAACCCAGGCAATCAAGCTATGAGTTAGCTGGCTAATTTCCCTAGGAAGTCTCCCAGTAAGATGCTAAAACAACTAACACTCATGCTGCCTGAAATTCCACCTTCCCATGTTCATACAAGGCTCTGATGGATAGGGCCAAGCATACCTTACACTTCCTTGTACCAGTTATTCACTTTGCTGCTAAGGAAAAAACATTTGTACTATGAGCATGCCGACAGGGTTAACATCTCAGCTGTGCTTCCATTTCACATGATGCCAGCACCTCACAGGACCTTAAACCCCTTCCAGGTCTAGCTCACCAGTACAGGGCATAGATCCACCTAAGGCTCATATTGGCTACCCATGGGTCAAAAGGAGAGTCCTGTTCTGTAGGGATAGCACGTACACTTGGCATTTACACTTATAAACAAAATACCTAAGGGTGCTGCTACTGCTCAGTCTGGAAAGCATAGAAAAACAGCAAGCATCTGTTTTGATGGGATGCTGCCACCTGGATTTGCATCCCTCCTGCTCTTCCGCTTACTCGAAGATCTTCAGTGCAGAAACTGCAAAAGCTGGCCACCAGATCCCTCAGCAGCACCATAAAGAGTCAAAGTTGACACCCCCTTCTGCCAGGCCCTGTCACATGTTTACCAAAGCTTCTCTACTGGATCCCTGAAGATCCTACATGCTGCTTCCACCTCTCACTTGGACTTTCACAACAGAGTCAATTCTACCACTGAAGTAGAAAGCTGACCTGGGCTCTCAGATCAGCTGAATTTGCACTTTCCATCTAAGCATAACTAGCACTGCAGAACCAAACAGTGCTATAAATGGTCAGTTTTTATTAAGATGCACAATAACATTTCCAAGTCAAGTGCTCTACTTATGCAACTCATGTTTTTACAAGAAAAAGTAGCAGGTTTGCTAAAAGTGACTATCCAGGTTCATTTTAAATGCCCCACATTAATGAACTCTAAGCAGTATTTCATAGGCCTTCTGGAATTATGTCAGTTAACCCTCTTTCCATTTGGAAAAAAAAGCAATTATTAACAGCAGGTTACTACTACTCAGTAGGTTGCAAAGCCAGACTATCCAACCTATACCAATTCAGCCACCGACTCATTCACTGTGTGACCAAGTCATTTATCCAACCCCTCTCCATGGCCTTATGTCCCTTCTAATCCTGGCTTTCACGAATTAAGCTTGCCCTAAATTTAGGGAAGCCTTGGCATAACCTGATGGAACTTCCCCCCACACACTCTTGCATGAGCCACCGTATGAGCAGAACTTGTTTGCATGCAGCCACAGTCCTGGATCGTTCTGCTGGCAGCACTGTCCATTTAAACACATTCTACTGGGGATGAAAAGCAATATTGCCAGCTGCAACACCTAGTATCTCATGCAGATCTCCTGTTGAAGCTTAATAGTCTAGCCTTGAGGAGATGGGACATTCTACAAAATCAGATGGCATAGCTGTCAGATGAAAATACATGCTTTCGTGTTCTGCTTCACAGGACACAACTAAGCAGCAGAACCCTGCACAGATCATGGAGCACTGCAAGAAGAAGAGGAATGGAAGAAAAGAGTGGCTAGTCTCTCACGTGACAACCAAAGCACAAATTCACATGTGCTTTCTAGTCTCCAGGACACAGGGCTGCAGACAAGTATACCTAGTGAAAATCGTGTCATGTAGATGTAATATTTTGTCCTCTCTTCGGAACATGAAGCAGAAGCATCAGGCATTTCCAGAGTGTCTGCTTCGGTGCTGGCACTCACCACATTCATGCACAGCAGCACCTACGTGACAGGCTGGCTGCTTCACCACACACCTGGTAGGAACAAACTTTCTGTAGGATCACCTGCAGCATTAAGCTATTTGGAGCCCAGCCAGAAGGGAGTCTAACTGAGATGTTTGTTCAGTTTGGCGAATGAGCATGCAAATATCCATGCAAATGAAGGTCTTACTAGACAGAGATGACAATATAAACACATTATTGCTAAGGTGACAATGTCCCTCCTGCAGCTTTAACTGGCCTTCATGGATCAAGCCAACTGCTAGCACTCAGTAGACTACACTCTAGCTTGCTATCACTACAGCACCAATTTAAGAGCTCATTTTTTTAGCCACATCCTCTCTCATTTCAACCCTTGGCTCAAGCAGTGTCATTTCAGAAATTGCTGAAGAGTACAGAAATACATTTTTCCCCCTGTTCCTGAATACTCAGCACTAATTATTTCTCCCATCCTCCCTCATTGATCTACAAAGGTCACATCAGTCCTTTCACAGCCTTCACTTGGAACAGCCATCTACACCACACAGGCTGGAGGTGTATGCATACTGTTATCTTTTTTGTCTGTAGTTTCACAATTCAGTTCCAGTAAAAACAGTGTTTTTAATATCAACATTTACCAGTTTGTTTTTAAAAGGACTGTCAAATTCCTTCTGCTCCCCACAGATTGGTATTTTTATAATGTTTGCATCAACATGTGATTTCAGTGGGATGACTTCACCTTACTATTTTTGCTTTGTTAATTAGAAAATGTAAAATATGACATAAGTGCCAAGGATTAAAGAGTAGCTGCCAAATAGCTTACCCAAATTTAAGATGCACTGCAAGTTTTACTAAAGCCTGATGCTAAGAGGTAGGCTCATAGACCTATGCATTAATGCATTCCAGTTCCATTGCCCAGAGTCTAAATAAGATCTTCTCTCCCCTGTATTAAGGGGAGATAAAAAAATGATTTTTCTAAGTTTCTGTTTAATGATTTGACCTTAAATGCCTTGAAATTTAAGACAAAGTTACTGATGCTCAAACTGCATTTTAAAGAAATTTTGTTGCTCTGAAGTTAGTATCTGCAACTAGGAGACTGATTAATATTCCTAACATACAGGGCTTAATTTGCAAAATTCAGATGTACAGAATTTTGGATTTTGCAGTGAAGTCAACATGATAACCTTTTCTGTGAGCAGTCACCAAGCTTATTCAAATGAGCCTACTAAGTCCCTCATAACATGCATTGCACATCTATGAATGGGCCCCAGGAATTCCAGCACGCTCTCATCACCAGAAAACGGTTGTTTGACACCACACAACATCATGGTGCAAAGATCCAAACTATCCTAATACAAAGTAAAACATCTTCAGGCACCTCCATAATGCCAGCAGAAAGCTTATATTATGCAACCACAAAACTCTAGCTATTTAGTTTTAATTCTACTTTGTTTTTACCAAAAGCTCAAAGGGTAAAAAATGATCCAAAGAGCTTTTGAGCTATTTATGGTCACATTAGGTAACTGTCTCACATACAGGCCAGGTCCCAGTCAGGCACAAAGCAGTCCAGCTACGCTGAAGCCTGTGGATTCATATCCACGTACTCAAGCCAGTGAACTATGGTCTTTGCATAAAGCAGCCAAAAATGGAAGCTGAGCAAACTACAAAAATGGGTCTGTCCCACAGGGTCTGTTGATCATTCTCCATTCTCCCCTGTTTCCCCTTCACTTTTGAGAAGTCCCACACCAGCTATCACCAACATTTTTCCATTCATGCTGGCATACTTTGCTCCTTCTTTGATACCCAGACACCATTGCTATTAGAGATCTTGACTTGAAGCACCTCTAAAAACATGTCTATATTTGTAAAATAATTGAGGACTTCATTTAGATTTTATTGCCCAGTGTGCTTCCTATGAAGGACCCATTTTCCTCTCTCCCTTGACCAGGAACAAAAAAAAGATTTCTAAGACACATGGACCTAACAAGCAGACTAAGGAAACAGATAGAAGAGAAAGATTACCTTCAAATAAATCCATCAGTCAGAATGAGACTTTCCCTCCCAGTACTGTCAGCCAATTCCTGTGTGCAGTCAGGTAGCTCAGAAGCATGGGCTGAAGACTCCTGCTGCAGTCCCCAGCAGTAACTTACAGATCGGTTTATTCTTCCTATGCGACTTGTGATCTGAGAACAAGCTCAGAGAACAAGCTCTGTAACCGAGTTTCAAACTCATCCACTAAAAATCTCTTGGGGCAACTTTTAGGGCACCCCACCTCCTTTCTCACAACCACTGCATAATTGTGTCAGTTTGTCAAGTTCCATTTAACAAGTTCTTGTCCTTCACAATTGCAAAATTCTGAGACAAAAATTCTGCTAATCTATGATCAAAAGATGTCTGCTGACCAGGGCTGCAGGTAGGAGTGCCTGGGTGTGTATTTTATGCACAGCTACACCATCTGGAATTATTCTCTCTGCTCCCATCAGTGGCTCCATTTGTCACAGATGCCCTCAGTGTGATTGTTTTAAGCTACTCCTGACTTTTAACCCTTCATCAGGTGGGGGAGGTTTGGGAGGGAGATTGATAGTTTAGTGCTAGAACAGTTTCACTGAAAAGCACCCAAGGAAGCTGGAGAGGAACAAGAGCTAAATAAGAGTTATAGTTCCCAAGGGGGAAGCAAAATCTCATTTTTAAAGGTCCTTAAGTTCTTGAGATAGAGCAGAGAGCTAAACTGAATCAGAAGGTTCTGTTCTCACTTTAGCTTGTCTTGATATAAGCATAATTTGAGTTATTAGAACATGAAAGTAAAAGACTATAGTAGACAGGGGTACAGTATTGTGGCCTTGCTGTCCACAATATGCTGCTGCTTCTCCTCATTTTAATTACCCACCTTTATCTCTTTTCTATTCCTCAGATAGAGGGGCACAACCTAAAATTGCTCATTTTGTAAAGGAAAACCAGGATGGTGTTTGTCACAATTTTGGCTGCCAGGGCTCGATGACCCACAGGATCCCTCCAGTTCTATGGGACTTCATGTCTTTGTCATGCAGGGAAAATGAAGGCTGTTCAGCATAAACCAAGTGCCCTACTGCTGTGGTAGAGATGCTTGAAAAACGCTGGCAATAGGTATGATTTTTGAGAGTATGATACAGACAAACCTAGCCAAGTACCTGTAGTCACACACACATCCCTGTCTTACAACTGTCTGTATTTGCCCAGAGCAGTGACCTTGATGCACAACCAAAGGCCATATCTCTAATGCAACTAGAAAAATCGAAGTACTTCTCCATAGCATCACACATCTAAGTTGCCAGCAAAGGTAAATTTGAACATAGTGGCTAAATTACATTCCCACTTCCCGGCAATTAGTTGGAGCATTAGATAGGGGGTTGAGAGTAGGATCTGCAGTTGTCAAATGCCCCTAGGTTTAGTGCTGTAGAATAACACAGAGTAAAAGAAAAGAACACAGGAGAATGAGAGGTTCCAGCTAAACATTTCTGTTGTAGCTGAAAGTTAAAATGAAAAAAAAAATAAAAATAAAAGTTACCCGAGCTTAATAAAAAATCAGTTACTTCTTCGGGACTCCACAATCATGATATACAGCAGGTTGTGCAACTTGACAATCAACATCATCTCCACTTCCAGAGTAGATTTCTGTGCAAGACTCATGTTTTAAGTGACTGGAGAGTGCCAGTTCATATGCCAGTATCAGTCATGAAGTTTTAGCTAAGCAACTGTGCTCAAGAAATGATAAAGTTCCATCCTGCTGCTTCTTACTGTGTTACTTGCAAGTGTGCTGGTTACAAGGAATCCTGGGGCTCCTGGGAGCAAGACTCTCGACTTCCAGTATTCAGAAAGCAACACAAATCAAAGGGCCTTTCCTACACTATATGGTAAAAGCTGCCGTAGATGCATTCAGCAGGGGTACATACATACAAGCAAGCTGCCTTCTAATGAGTAACCATTCACAAGAAACCCTTATTTCTGGTCATGCTTATATTTCACCTAAAAAAGCTCATTTCTACATTCAGATGGAATGTCTATTTTAGACCCAGCAATTCTGACAAAGAAATAAAAAAGCATTTTTGTAATAGTAAGAGTCCTTTAAAAAAGTCAAATTTAAACACATGTCCATTTATCCTTCCGTAGGGATTTTAACAAGTTTCTCCTGTCACTTTAACCAATTGCTAAAAACATCTGCACCATCTGCCCTCTGAGCCAACTGTGCTCTCAGGAAATGCACTCAACTTGATTTTTCACTTCACTGCAGAAGCAAATCATTTGTATGACAAGAAACCAACATTCCTAAGAAGAGTTGCAGCTTCATCTTCAGACTATGCTGAAGGAAAGCAGAGATGACAAGGAAGCAGTGTGCTTATTTCCAAGGGCAGCTATAACAGCAGACAGGCAAAAAGAAAAAAAAAGAGGCCATGTAAAGACTTGCAAGCACTTTGTCTTCTTAATTAGCTCAGCACAAAAGGGCTGCCTACCCCTCTCCCAGACATATACATCTTGTGCACACACTTTCTTCCTTACTCCACATTCCTGCTGTTCCCAGGTACCTCAGTTAAACATCAGAGAAGGGAGCGAGGAAGATCTCTTCTTTAAGGATGTGGTTTTGTATTTCCACGCAGCCAACTCCTTTTGATCCACAGACATGTTTGGGGTTTTTTTCTCCTTCTTCCCCCAGTGATAACTCTGGCTCTTCAGCCTTTCACTGTAATTCACTTGATTCTTAGTCCTGCCATCTACCCCGAGGCCTAGATCCCCATTCGGACAAAAAACACACAGTTTGAATCAGATTACTCAGAGTGGAAGACTCTGGCTCTGAGAGCCCAGTCTAAGTAGGCAGGCCGGCCATTGCTGCCCGCGAGGGCCCTGGAACTGCTCCTACCTTTGCAGCGGCCGCGGTGCGTCACGCTCAGGCTCGCTTCGCGGCACTTGGCTCTCTGGTAGTCGCACATGGACTCGTACGTTCTGCCGTCGGACGCACAGAGGGGCTTCGACTGGGACCGGGAGCAGTGCAGGTTACACTGAGGGTCTCTGTCGCGGTCACTTATTAAAAACTGAAGAGAGTGGGGAAAAAAAGGAGGGAGGGAGAGAAAAAAACAGTTTCATTTGGTTTCTCAAAGCAAAGCAGTGTGTATTTTGTTTTCATGATGATAGCAATATGGTCTATAACATGTTTTAAGCTGACTACCAAAGCGGACTTTGCCTGAAGGGAACTTAAAATGAAACACGTATGTCTTAAAAATTATAAAAAAGTTAAGGGTCTTTGCTATTCCGTTTTCTTTAATGGAACGGAAGCATTACTCACTGTGCCTCACCTCTGCAAACAGAGGATGCACAAAGCCAAGCACAGCTCACTCGGGAAGGGCAACACTGAGTCACATCGGCCTGGCTTGCCCAGGGCTCTGCCACAAACAATATCCAGGAGCAGGCACTTGAGTCAGTGCTGCAAGAAACTTGTCACTGGGGCTGAAGGAACCCAAATAACCTTTCAAGAGGTCCTGGTAGGTGAAGCACAACTTTATACTACCAATTGCTTTTTTTTTTTTTTTTAAGGTTATAAAGCTCTCCTTTTATCATCTGTGTGTACCACCTGTCTCAGTGCACACGCACCCCCCCAAACCATGCTTTATTTCTCCCAATGACATCCTGCTGAGCTGACACTTACATTCCATGCCGCTCACAATGCAACATAAAGTATTTTCACTGTTTTCCTCTAAGCTTTGAATTTGCCATCTTTCTGAATGCCTCCTCTTCCCCTGCATTTAGTTGGGAAGGGGCTCTTTATTCTTTATGCACATACCAGCCCTTTTTTGTCCGTCTCTCAGGGCAAACCACCCCATCTTTCCTTTCTTCCCTCAGAAAATATCCTTCACACCACTACCAACGTGGTTTCCATTCCCTGAGGTTTGTTGGGCTTCCACCTTATCTTTTGGAGATGGAGCAACCAACCCAGCATGAGTGAGTCACTGAGTTTTGATAGTCTCCATTTTCTGTCAGCATGTTCCCTGCCAACGCCAACACCACATGGTGGCTTCTCCTTAAGATGTCAGCTGTACTCCAAGGTACCCAAAGCAATATCCAATTTTTTCCAAGTTTATCCCCTCTTCCAGAGAGCCCTGGGTCCCAATCCCACTGGATACCCACAGAATAGGGTTTCTGCAGGATATTATGGCAGCAGCCCCTTTCACTTTTCCACCCACTTCCCATTCTACCTGGCTTAGTAGTAAGACAGTTAGGCCTTTAATTACTCCAAACCCAACCACCTGCTCACAGGAAGACTTCAGGGGACTCTTGAAAGGAAACCCATAAGGATTAGCAAGGGAAAGGGAAGTAAAACCCATCGCACATTCCCAAGGCCCCTAAGCCTTCGAGCCCGAGGGAATCCGGGTTCCTCTCTAACTCACCAGCATCCCAGCTGGCTGCGGGAGCGCTCCGGAGCGCGGCATCGCCCGACACCCGCTCGCACGCGCAGCGCCCGGCTCGCCAAGTGTGGTGATAGCTGGATGCCTTGCAGGGAAGTGAGTCACGGCCATAATCACCTCTGCGTTACAGTTGCCTACAAAGCTGTCTGTTCCGCGCTTTGAGGTTAAAGCAGTTGAAAAAACATTGCCTGAAGCCCCGTTCAGGTTGGTTTTTAACCACTCCAAAAACATGCATCCCTGAAATTTGTTTTTTTTTTTTCCCTTGACAAAAATCGTCATCCCTTTTTTCCTTCCAATTAAATTAGACGAAAAATAATCGAGAAGTTCAATATTTTCATATAGAGTCATATTGGCTCTGTATTGCTGTACCTTTGGAGGACTCATGCATTACTAAAAAACATGACAGCTGGGAAAAGCAAGCAAGGTCTGCACTTGTTTTAGTTTGGGTGGGGCAACCTCTTTCTTTCCCCCTCTAAATCTCATCTGTCAAAGACTTGCCAAAATTTGCAATACCATTAGGGTTTTTTCTTTTTTTTTAATGTTTTTGTTTCTTTTCTGCTGCACTTTCTATAAGCTGGCAACACCTGTTGAATGGGAAATTGGAAAATTTAAACCTGAAGGTAATTTAAAATATTTTATAGAGACCTGGAGCAGACTGTAAAAACACTGTAAAGCTGGGCCCAGTTTTGCCCAGTTCTTGTCAAGGGCCAGGCTATCACAGCTTGCTTGGAACTGCTGTAGGGACAGTAACATCTTCACAGGCCCCAGGGTGCAAGCCTCAGCGCACACCAAGAAGGAACAGGCTGGAGATGCTGAAGTCTTCTCCCAAGGTGTGGTGACAGAGCCTGAAGGACTGGTAAGACACTTCAGCTGTCTATATAAACACTCTTTAAAAGCAGAACTGCCTGACAGCACAGGATGATGTACCTATAGTGATCAAACATTCAGGTAAACATTCCCCTTTGGAGGGAACAGTTGCATTCACCATTTATCACAACTTTGAAGACTTGAGCTCCTGGCCTGAAATTCTGTTTTTGCTAATTCCTTGTGTCACATGTTTAATTCTACATACCAGAGAGATCCAGAGGGCCACCTAAAAAGAAAAGAGGATACTGGTTTCCAGTATCAAACTATACTATGGATGTACTGAAAACTCAGCTTGTATCATGCAAATTCATCCAAGCCTTCTCTGGCTTGCACCAAAATACCAAATATCAATGGAACCTATAAGCTCAGGAAAGTCTCTTCCCCAGAAAGAATACCTAAAGAACAAAAATCTTTCAGGCAGTTGATACTGAAGTGCTAAAACTAAAGTTATGGGGCAGCTTTCTTTAGGTATCGCCTCACAGAAGGATAGGGAGGAACAGCTTGACATTGATTAACTATGAGGGCCTGAGGAAACACGCAGAGTGCCCCAATGCAGTCTGTGAAGTTCTTGCCTACCCAAATTAAGCCAAGAACCACTTTATAAAAAAAAATAAAGTTTTAAAAAAATCAAAGCCTTTTTAGCATTTGCAATTTGGATTACCGTAGTGAGCCCACACAGCATGTTAGGTGCTTTCCAGGCACTGAAGATGCCACATCTGCCTTGCCAAAAAAGTTTATGGTTTACATAGCTGCACAAGATGGTGCTTGTTTTGTTCAACTACATTATAATTGTAAAAGTGTGCATTAATTTCCAGAAGGATCCGGAGTCGTGCCTGTCTAATCAAGGTTCTCTTCATGTGACCAGAGAGCACTGCCAGAAAGACTGGATCTCCTGGAGGTATCACTGGAGGGCCTCAAAAACTCTCTTAAAGGATATGTGCTTGCTCCACTGTACTCCAGAGCCCTCATCTTTTTTTTGGCAGCCCTGACAGCTTTTCAACACCAACATGGTCATTCTTTATCCATTTTCTGCCTGACAAACATTCACACCATAGAAGCGATCATCAACACAGACCATCCTCAGATAATGTGACATCCTGGCTATCTTAACATCTACCTGCTCCTGCCCAGCCCAGGAAGTTCTCTTGCTAGCAGTTTGCCTCTCCAAGAGTGCAACAACTGTTCTCCTTTGCTTGTGTCCAATGACAAAATACTCCAGATGAATGCTGAACTATCCTCCTCAAGAAGAAAAGAAAGTCAGGAGATAACAGCAACTGAATCCACCATTGCAGCAGCTAGAACTACTATTTGAGTTACTCGTTCACTGTTCTGATCCCCGACAAGCAGGTACCCCTCTGCAAGCAGAAGCACCTCAGTGCTTCTGACCTCAGAGTCACTGCTGGACCAGGCAGGTGGCTACGAGTGATGCACACAGGGTGCCCCCAAGTCCAACTTTTGACCTTCACCAAACTCAAGCAAGACAGTAGGATGAATCCCTTGTCCCTTCTGTGCAAGGTGGAAGAAGGATGAGAAAGTATTTTGCCACACAACACCCCATCAGGATGGCCCATGAAACTAGGCTCAAAGACTGGTGTCCGAAGAGCCTCAGGACTTGCAAACAGACTGGGCTAAGAGCAGAAATCAACTTGGGTGGAAAAGCACTTGGGGCTGTACAAATACACAACATGACAGTTCTAGACTCAGGAAAAGTAACCCTGCAAGCATCCAGGTAGCAGCATTGGGTTTCCAGGTTTCACCTAAAAAGAAATCATTTTCCTCATTCCAAGACATTTAAGTCTGTTCTTGATACCTGCATTCTCATTTCCTTCAGGGCAGACTGCATCTAAAACAATAGGACTGAAAATGGTGACATTTGATTATCCATCCTTTTCTCCTCTTCTTTAGTATCCAACCCAGAAAAACTCTTAAAAGCAAAACTATTTAAATAAATGCAAAAACTGCCATAAAGACACTGGAACCATTTTTTGGGGAAAATGTTAAAAGTGACCAGATTGCAAATGCTATTTGTTGAACACAGACCAAATACTAAAATGAGTGAGCACCAGTACGAGAGTACATGTGCATTATAGTAGAACATGTATTATAGTAGAAGGTATATTAAGGTACATACACAGCTGCTACACCAATCAGTTTAAGTGTCCCAGCCTTAAAGAGCATGAAGTCTAATGAAGCTCTCAGAGCATCCCTTCCCTTCAAACTCCGTGTCTGCATAAGAATATAAGCCCCTTCCTTTAGTAAATACATTTACACAGGTGCTTGCAGTACTCACTTCCCAAACTACTTTTTGCTTCTTCAGACTTGAAAAGAAAAAAAAAAGGAAAGATAAGAGGTCAGAATAAAGTTAACTTTGCCCACAAAGCATATCTGTTCTTTCTCTCCACACCTCAACACCACTGCTGACAAACAACAAACACTGATTAAAGGGGTTTTAATGCCTGTGAAGAAAAGCAGACTCCCTGCAGCTGCACAGCAGCTGGGAACACTTGTGTTATTTAGCAGAGAAAGGTCTGACCTCACAAGTGAAAATGAGCTTGGTGGTCATTCATTCTATTCACCATCTGGGTACATTATAGGCACAAACAGAACAGCACCGCTCTTTGTGAGGGGGGCAGCGAGGAGCAGCCCAGGGACCGCGCTTCCAAAGCGCCTTGCCGAAACTTCGGGGGAAGAGGCAGCAAAGGACACAAGCGCCATGAATGCAAGAAACTGGAAGAAGTCTATTAAGAAAGAAAACTGAAAGACAG